GGCATAGATGGTGTCAATATTTAGCTTTATTCCGTCGACAACATCTCCACCATTTTTCTAAGCTGATGTATGCAGCCCAACCTCCTTCTTTTTGAGCGTGTTGTGGTCTCGCTAAGCGTTCAATTTATTGAATCCCCTGTCATTGGACATGCTGGTTGCTTCCATTTTCCCCCCATTCAGGCATTGCTACCTTCTAAAACGGTGGTTATGAACACAGTTGTCGGGAGGCTTGAGTGCTGGGTTTAAATTCTTACTCGGACACTTACTAGCTGTGAGGTGGGGCCGAGGACGAGCCCGCTGAGCTGTGCCTCAGTTTCCCTCCCTGTAACACAGAGGTGATAACAGCACCGGCCTCCTGGGGTTGTTAAAAGGGTTAAGCGACTTCGTCGACAGCGTTTCTCTAGGGTGGCTGTGGCGAAGGGGAACTTATGGGACTTCTGCTCGGACGTGGAGAAGATATAGTCTTGCTCTTACTAAATACTGCTGGATTGTTCTCAAAATTAGTGTTCCCCATTCGCACTCCCCCCGGAAGTGAATGAAAGGGCTCATTTCCCCCATCACGGCCGCATGTACTTTCTCTTTCTTACTGGGTGCTGAAGCGTCATTCGTGGGCTCTTAAAGGACATAAATCTTAAACAGCTCAGTGGACTTCCACACATGTACACACTCTCGATGGCCAACACCCACATCAAGATAGAGGTCATGCCCAGCCCCTTCTCCGTCATTACCCACCAGGCAGCCGCTCCTCTCATTTCTCTCATCATAGTTTAGTTTCACTTGTTTTGAAACGTCATCAAAACCGAATCAGAGTGTAGGAGGCTTCTGCGTCTGATTTCTTTCATGTGACGCCACGCCTGTGACTTTCATCCAGGTTGTTGTGAATATCCGTAAATTATCCTTGTTCGTTGCTGCGTAATATTCCATGATGTGAAATCTACTCCGATTTCTTGATCTGTTCTCTTCTGGGTGTGCAGTGGGGTTGTTTCCAGTGTGGGGCTCTTTTGAATAAAGCTGCCGTGAACGTTTGGGGGAAAGTCTGTGCGCGGACCTCTGCTTACCTTGAACTTGGGTATAGGGGAGCTGTCCCATGTAAATCCTGGCCCATCAGATCCAGAGTCCCCAAGAGAAGGTGACATCACCTTGCCCTTGCTACTGAGGAATAAAAGAGGGTCATTTCGGCTCTCTAGTGCGCCTGGGAGGTGAGCCAACAGCCCCCTCTCACCCCGTGCCTCAGTGGGGCACAGAGACCGTGCTGGTCCTTCCCATCGCTCCAGCACCAAGAGTCAGCTTCCCTGCCCCCCAGACCCCCATTGTTATCCGCTGCTGGAGATGTCCCCACATCCTTAGCCATACACAGGGCTCAACGATGACACAATCCTGGGAGAAATATTTAAGTCTAAGCAGTAAGCCGTAGCAGGAAGAAGTACATACCATGGTTTCAAGCAGGGGCCAGCCGGCTTTTCCTGTGAAGGGTTGGAGGGTCAATTTTTCAGGCGTGGCAGGCCACAGACCGTCTCTGTTGCCTATTTTTCTTTGCCTTATTTTCTTTTTTTCTTTTTTTTTTTGCTGAGGGAGACTGGCCCTGGGCTAACATCCATGCCCATCATCCTCCACTTTATATGGGACGCCGCCACAGCATGGCTTGATAAGCAATGCATTGGTCTGCGCCCGGGATCCGAACCTGCGAACCCCGGGCCGCCGAAGTGGAGCGGGCGAACTTAACTGCTACGCCACCGGGCTGGCCCCTTTCTTTGCTTTAAAATCCTTTAAAAATGCAAGCTGTTCTTAGCTTGTGGGCCATGCCGACAAACTGTGGCTGGTGTCAGCCCCCGGGGCAAAGTCTGCAGACTTTTAGTCTAAATCATTTTAGCAAGTTCCCGACACACAGCAAATATTCATTATTAAGCGTCAGGAGGCGGGTTTTCTATTGTGTCTAATTTTGAATTTGTAGTTGCATGCCCCAAAATGTTTAATCTTTTTTTTAATTGAGATATAATTGACATAGTTTTCAGTGTACAACATAATGATTTGATATTTGTATACAGTGCGAAATGATCACCACAATAAGTTTAATTAACATCCATCATCTCACATAGTTACAAATTTGTTTTTTCTCGTGATGAGGACTTTTAAGATCGACTCTCTTAGCAACTTTCAAATATACAATACTGTTCATTACAGTCATCATGCTGTACATTACATTCCCAGAACTCATTTATCTTAGAATTGGAAGTTTGTACCTTTTGAACCCCCTCACCCATTTCACCCCACCCAAAATGTTTAATCTTCAGATCCAATGAAAGTGGATACACCCAATTATTCTAATTGTCCACTTTATGGATGTCCAATGTCCTCGAGGCATTAAGAACAGTGAAAGTGGGAGTCTTGAGACTATGCCAAGCTCTTTCTATCCACCAGGCAAAGGAGATGCTATTTGTACCCACTTTACAGATGAGGAAACCGAGGTTCAGAGTGGCGACCTAGCCAAGTCTCGTGGAAAGGGGCAGAGCTGGGATTTTAGCTCGGGGCTGATTTCAGAGCCTGGACCTGGTCTGCTGCCCCCTGTTATCTCCCCGAGCTGGGCTGGGCTCTTCCCATGTGTGTTTTCTGGACACGTTTCTGGAGTGAGCTGAGCAGGTGGGAGGAACGTTCAAGGGCCCGTCCCAGAGGGTCCAGCCCCTGAGGAGAGGAGACCAACGAGAGCTCAGTGTTAAAAGCCACCAAGTTAGCAGTAACATGTTATACAGCAATAGCTGACCAATACACCCCGTTCTCTGGATGGAGCAATGAAGGGCCAGAGAGGGGAGGCCGGTCAGCCCAGCTCCTCTAGCAAATCGGGGTGCGTGCAGAAAGACAGGAACCCAGACCTGCTTGCCAGGCCCTCTGGGGCTCCGGGGCCAGCCCGCCTGGGTCTGAGGTCCAGTTTCACCACTTACTGGCTGGGAGACTTTGAGCCAACTATTTGATGTCTGCTGCCTCAGTTTCCCCATCTATAAAATGGGAACGTGAGTAGCGCCCACCCCGGAGCGTTGAGATGAGGATGGGGCTAACATCCCCCGAGTGCTTACAACAATGCCCGGCTCACGACGATGCCCAACGCGGGCTCAGCATCATTACGTGCAAAGAGATCTGCCCCCTGCCAGACTAACGGGGACCCTCAGCGACTCATTTAAGCCAAAGGCAAGAAAACAAGTGTTTGGGATGGAACCAGCTGACGCGGTGGCAATTCTGTCCCCCAGGGGACACTTGGGGATGTCTGAGACACTCGTGGTTGTCACAATTGGGAGACTGGGGTGCTCCTGGCATCAGGGGGTGGGGCCAGGCTTGCTGCTCAACCCCCCATCGTGCCCAGGATGGCCCCCCAAGAGTGAGCCGGCCCCACAGTGCGGAGGGCGAGACCCCAAGAGGGGGAAGTAGCAGCCTCTCTAAATGCACAGTCCCACGAAATCTTCGCACCAGAACCACTTGGTCCGTGTCTGTGCTGAAACCGGACCTCAGATGAGGACACTGGGGGCTGGAGAAGCAAAGACCCCCGCCCAGGGTCACACGCGGGGGCCCGGGGAGCTGGCCAGCAGACCCACGTCCCATCGCCAAGCTGGGGCCCAGCGTCGCTGTGCCGACGTGGCTGACGGGAGCCAAGTCCATTCCCGGGTGTGCATTTCCCTTTCTTCCTCCACGAGATGGGACCTGACCCGCAGGGTTGAGGTTATCTAAAAGGGTTTGCGTGCGAAGCCAGTGGAACAGCCCTGGGCCAGAGCACGCGTGCTGCGGATTCGGTTTCGGGGTCTTAAGTAAATACTAGCCCTGCCGTGGGAACATGGCAGGTCACACAAGTGGAGAGAAATTGGGGAAACTTCGAGCTGGGTTCTGTTCAGGGCAATCTGGAATTTCTGGAACCTTCTATGAGCTCCCCACAGCTGCTCGAACAAAGGATCGCAGACTTAGGGGCTGAAACAGCACAAACATCAGTCACGGAGGTCAGTCTGAAATGGGCCTTCCGGGGCTCAAGTCCAGGTGCGGGCAGGGCTGTCCTCCCAGAGGCTCCGGGGAGAAGTGTCTCCTGCCTTTTCCAGCTTCTAGAGGCCGCGTCCTGGGCTCGGGGCCCCTTCCTCCGTCTGCACAGCCCGCAGTGCAGCGTCTCCCGTCTCTCTCTGCCTCTGACCCTCCTCCTCCCTCTGATGAGGACCCTGTGGTGACACGGGGCCCCGGGAATCCAGATCATCTCCCATCTCCAGATCCTTAATTGAATCCACCTGCCAAGTCCCCTTCACCACACGACACAGGGGGCTAGACCCCTGCACACCAGGGTGGGGACCCAAGACCTTCATGCCCTTTCCCTGGCATCGTCCGAATTCGAAGCCTCGAGGCCCAGCGAGTGTGGCGAGGGCATCTCTGACCACCACACGGGCCCCGTCCAAGGCACCAGGCACCCAACTTTAAGCCCAGTAGCAGGTCCAGCCCTGTCCTGTTCACACTGTTGCGAGCAGAGCAAAGGGATGAGAAGGCCACCCCGAGACCCCGGGAAAAACCAGACACACACGGCCTGTGCTCAACTGCAGATCAAATTTATTAAGGCCACCGAAGCTCCTGGCACCTATGGCTCGCCAGGCAGGCCTGAGCCCCCTTCTGTTTTAGAATGAATCTGGACACCTCAGCCTCTACCCCGCCCCCGGGAACCCACTCTGCAGACCAGAAGTCCAAGCCTGCTAGCTAAAGGCTGATATCTGGGGGCCTTGATGCAGAAAAGGAACTGGGATATAAGAATTGTACGCCTGACTTTTAAGGAAGGAAAAGAAAATTTTTGGGGAACCTTCTAGAAAAAATTTTTTCCCAGAAACCTCACCCCAGTGACTGTTCCTCCGAGCCCAGAGAGGCTGAGGGACCGGCTCAGTGTGGAGGACCTCCGCTTCCCAAGGTGGCAGCTGAGATGAGCGGTTAGAAATGCGTGTCCAGTGAGGCGTGGGGGGCAAGGGGTCAGGGCTGCCTGCCGGCCCCCCGGGGAGCCCCCCGAGCCCCCTTTCTGTCTCTCCTACTTCTGCTCTTCTGGGGCCTTCTCGACGATGCCGGGAGCAAAGGGTCCCACCAGCCACATGATGGGCGTGTTCTGCACCACGTACTCCACCATGTGGTCCAGGGCTTCTCGGGCCCTGGCGACCTGCTCGCGGCTCTGCGTCAGGACGCTGGCCGACAGGTCCTGGAAGGAGTGGACGCCGGCGAAGGCGGCCTGGAGGTCCCCCACGTGGCGGCGAGCCTGCTGCACCTGGTCCTTCACGTGGCTGGGCAGCCCTTGGACACTGGAGCCCAGCGACGCGCAGGTGGCCTCCAGCTGCTGCGTGACATCGCGGAACATGGCGAGCGCCCGGGACTCCACCTGCTGACGGGGAGGCGTGGGGACCATCAGCACCATCGGCTCTGGGGCTAACGGGAGCCACAGCCAGGGACGAGGAAAACGGGGTCCCACCTCCGACCTTCGGGAAAACCTTCCCTAGGAGGGGCCGTCTAGGCAGCGGTTTGGGGTACCAGCTCTGTGAGTTTCGAACCGGGTGGGACATCTATCGGCCAAATTGAAAAACAGGCATAGACGTTTCTCCAGAAGATACACAGATGGGCAAAGAGCACGTGAAGAGACGTTCAACTTCATTAGCCATCAGGGAAATGAGACCCCACTTCCCCCCACTAGGACGGCTAGAATCAAGGGGACAGACAGTAACAAGTGTGGGCGAGGAAGGGGAGACACTGGAAGCCTCGGACAGTCGGTGTCTCTCTGGAAGACAGTTTGATGGTTCCTCAAAGTGTGAAACTATAGTCACGACAGGACTCAGCAATTCTACTCCTAGTACCTACCCAAGAGCAATGAACACTTAGGTCCACACAAATACAAGTACACAAACGTTCATATGGGCAGGATTCACAACGGCCAAGAGTGGAAAGAACCCAAATGCCCATTGAGGGACGAATGGATAACATGATGTGGTCCATCCACGCACTGGAATATTACGCAGCCACGAAGAGGAGTGGGGCCCTGACACAGCCACACCGTGGACAGACCCTGAACACATGACGCTCAGTGAGAGAACCAGACACAGAAGGACACACAGTGGGTGATCCCATAGATGTGAAACGTCCAGAACAGGCAGATCCACAGACAGGAAGTGGGTTCGTGGTTGTCAGGACCTAGAAGGAGGTGGGAATGGGGAGTGGCTGCTAATGGGTACAAGATCTCCTTTTAGGGTGATGAGAATGTTCTGGAGGGATTGTGGTGACAGTCCTACAACCCTGTGAAAATACTAAAAACCACTGAATTCTACTCTTTAAATGGGTAAATTGTACAGTATGTGAGTTACATCGCAATAAAATTGTTTTTTTAAAAAGTACAAGATACTGGATTTTATATCTCAAAAAACCTGTTTAAAAGAAAGTTAGGGGGCCGGCCCCGTGGCTTAGCGGTTAAGTGCGTGCTCTCCGCTGCCGGCGGCCCGGGTTCGGATCCCGGGTGCGCACCGAGGCACCACTCCTCCAGCCATGCTGAGGCCGCATCCCACATACAGCAACTAGAAGGATGTGCAGCTATGACAGACAACTATGTACTGGGGCTTTGGGGGAAAAATAAATAAATAAAATCTTTAAAAAAAAAAAAGAAAGTTAGGAAGAACTTTCTAGGCAGAAGTGGTAAGCAGTGGGGGAGACCACAGTTTAGACGGGGTCCTTGTAGATTCCCGGCCGGGGGGGAGACGGGAGCAGGCTGGGAGGAAGGACTGTGTCCCGAGCCCCATCAGTGAGGGCTCTGGACCTGACCCCAGCCGGGAGGTGCTGATGACAGAGTCCACCGCTGCGTCTTCTGGCGGCTGCGTTCAGTGTGGGGGGAGGGAGACGGCTCCAGGGGGGTCTGGATGCTGAACGGTTGTGCGTTTATAGGGATATCCGTGACATCTTCAGAAACATCGCTTTTCTAACACTTACTCTATGCCTCACACATCAACCATTTCATCTTTCTTATATACGTATAACTCGCATACCAGAAAACTTGCCCTTTTCAGTGTATAATTCAGTAATTTCTAGTAGATCCGTGAGGTTATGCAACTACCATCTCTATTTAATTCTGAACTTTCCATCACTCCAAAGAAACCTGTCCCCTTCTGCAGTCACTCCCCGTCCCCTCCCCAGACCCTGACAACCACGAACCCACTCTCTGGCTGTGGATCTGCCTGTTCTGGTCATTTCACATCAATGGGATCACACACCGTGTGGCCTTCTGTGTCGGGTTCTCTCACTGAGCATCGTGTGTTCAGGGTCCATCCACGGTGTGGCTGTGTCAGGGCCTCACTCCTTTTCGTGGCTGCGTCATATTCCAGCGTGTGGGTGGACATGCTTTGTTCATGCATTCATCCATCCATGGACACCTGGGCCACTTCCACTTTCTGGCTGTTACGGATCATGCTGCTATGAACACGCGTGGACACGCTGGGCTCACTTCATCTTAACCCTGCAGAAGGTCCCATGTGCAGGTTATAGATGGGGAACCCGAGGCCCAGAGCAGTTAGGCTGAGAAGCCAGTGTTAGTACAGAGCTAAGATCGAGAGAGTATCACTCAGGATGGGGCGTGACAACCGTGTAAGGCGTTGATTCCATAAAAGCGTCAATTACTGACGGTACACGTGGCCAAGTCAGGGCACGTACGAGAGGCTGATGCCCCGGACAGAATGGAGGGACTGGAGCACATGAGCTAGAAGTTGTCACTAGGAGTCAGGAGGTGAATATGAAAGATTCGATGGGACGCTGGGAGGGGGGAGAGATGGATTCAAGACTCAAGGTAATGAAACACGGCTTAGAGTTTAGCAGGTTGAGAACATCACCATCAAGCACCCCATGGTTCAGAAGCAACATCCACACCCAAGAGCGGAAATCAAGGCAGGCTCCCTGGAGGAGGTGTCATCACGTCCCGAAGCAGTTAAAGGAGGATGGAGGTGGGGAAAACGTTCCAGGCAGGTAGGTCCCTCTCGGCAGAGGTGTGGAGAGGGAAGTCGGGGCCCCAACCATCCATGCCCGCGCCCCAGCGGGTACCTCTGGCTTGGCTGGGTTCTCCTCCGCATCCGGAAGCTGCTTCTTGTTCCAGTTAAGCCACATCTGGTGTAGTTTCTCCTGCCCCTCCACCAGCTTCTGATCGACTCCCTGCTTGACACTTTCCATCTGGAGCAGGAAACAGGGAGGCTGCTCAGGCCCCTGCCTTCGTGCTGGGACAGACATGTCCTGCACAGCCTCCTGCAGGAAACAGGGAGGCTGCCTCAGCACCCGACCACGGCCGGTGGAGCCCCAGCACATCCCCACGTGCCCCAGGAGAGGCGGGACTCCAGGGGGAGCCCGGGGGTCCTTAGTTATCTGAGATGAGAAGGGCTGTAAAGGGGAGGGAGGGAGGCTGTCGTCACACTCGGGTTCCGTGGCTGTGGTGACATGGGCTGTGGGCTTCGGTTGAACAGACACACTCACGCCCAAAGAAAGGGGCCACAAATTCTCCGTTTCTCCTGCCCCTGCAACTGGGCCTGGCCACGTGACTGGCTCTGGTCACCAGAACACGAGCAGATGGGACAGAACAGAGGCTTAGAAGGCACTCGGCATGGAATATTACTCAGTCATGAAAAGGAAGGAGATTCTGACACCTGCTCCAACATGGATGGACCTTGAGGACGTGACGCTCAGTGACATGAGCCAGACACAGAAGGACAGACACTGTGTGATCCCCTCACAGGAGGCCCCTAGAGGAGTCACATCCACAGAGACAGAAAGTGGATGGTGGGGCCAGGGGCTGGGGGAGGGGACAGGGAGTCAGTGTTTCATGGGGACAGAGTCTCAGTTTGGGAGGATGGAAAGTTCTGGAGACGGATGGTGGGGATGGTTGCACAACAACGTGAATGTGCTTCATGCCGCTGAGCTGTGCCCTTAAAACGCTTAAGATCATAAATTTTAGGTCGTGTAATTTTTAATTTTTAAAAATTAAAAAAAAAAAGAGAAGATAGTACTTAGCAGAGGAAGCTAAGCAAAGAGGAAAAAAACTAGGAATTTAGCTCTTTAGAGAATTTAGCTCTTTAGAGAAGAAAATAAACCTCAGTGGGAGGGGATCTGACTGGGAAGCAGCAGGAGGGAACTTTCCGGGTGATGGAAATGCTCAACATCTTGATGGCGGTGTTGGTTACAAGTCTGCTTATATTTGTAAAGTTCCTCAAACTGTGTGCTTTAAAAGGAGTGATTTTTACTGTATGTAAATCATATCTCAATAAAACTGACTTTAAGTGACAAAAAAAAGTGCTCGTGCATCGTGGCTCATGTGCTCTGGGTGCACCTGGATCCCTGACACCCCCAGCAGGGGAGAGCGCCCGAGCCAGCTTCACGGAGGAGGGGCCCACACCGAGACGCCTGGCTCCCAGCCCACCTGTCACGGGCTGAATTGGGTCCCCCTAAAATTCACGTGTTCGAGCCCCAACCCCAGGACCTTGGAATGTGACTGTATTTGGAGACAGGTCTTTAAAGGGGTGATTATAAAATGAGGGCACTGGGGTGGGCCCTAATTTCATAGGACTGGTGTCCTCATAAAAGATGAGGACACAGACAGAGCAGAGGGGAGACCAGGTGGGGACACAGGGAGGAGGCGGCCGTCTACACACCAAGGAGAGAGGCCTCAGAGGGAACCAGCCCTGCCGCCGCCTCGAGCGCGGACTTCCAGCCTCCAGCCCTGGGAGAGGATATGTATCTGCTCTTTAGGCCCCTGGACTGTGGCACGTCCTATGGCAGCCCCTGCAAACCCACCAGGACTGCAGCCCAGGAGCCAGCCCAGGAAGGGTGAGAGGGAAGCCGCCAGGGTTGGGGGCGGGGGTTGCCCGCGTCCCCGCACGGCCACCGCGGGGCCTCACCAGGCTGAGCGCCTGCGACAGCTGCTGCAGGGCCTCGTGGGCCCTCTGGCGCGTGAGTTGCAGCTTGCCCAGTGAGTGCGCGTAGGCCCGCTGGCGCAGCCTCTCCGACAGGGAGCCCAGACGCACGAAGTAGCTCTGCTCCCGCCGCTGCTGCTGCACCGAGGCGATGTCGAAGCCCTCCAGGGACGTGGCCAGGCGGGCTGCGGGGGGAGAGAGAGAGAGAAGCACGTGAAGGCCGGGGCGCCAGCAGGCGACACCACAGCAGCGGCCCTCGGGCTCCCAGGCGCGGCCCGAGTTCGTGCCCTGCGAGCCCTCGGAGCCAAGGACTCCCCTGCCTCAGTTTGCCCCATCTGCGAAATGGGTACGATGCCACCCGCGGGCCACACCCACCCCGCCTCTGGTGAACACGACCATGCACGGTCCTTATCTATTGTCTACGCTGCTTTCAACTACAGCGGTGGCGAGTATGGCTTGGCCTGCGGAGACTGAAATATCCATTATCTGGTTCTTTACAGAAAAAAGTTGGCTGATCTTGTATGAGCACCTGGCACATGTGCCTAGTGGCTGATCTTTCACAATGTTCTAGGTGCTTCGTGTGCAGTCTCGTTAAATCTTAACCAGTCCGTGAGGGAGGCACCGTTATCTTGTTTTCACACGTGAGGAACGTGGGGCTCAGAGAGGTTAAGCGCGTTGCCCAAGGCCACAGCGCGAGGAAGTGGCGGGTCAGGATTTGAAGCCGGGCCGTCTGACCCCGTGTTCTTAACCATGATACCTGATGGGACGAGTCGGACTCACGTGAGAACCGTCTTAACAGCAATGAAAGTCAGGACTGTCTCGTCCAGAGAGTGCTCGTAAAGTTACGAGACAGCAGGATGGAAAACTACCTCTCGTGATGATTTTATCCTATTTTATCCTGCTCCCTTTAAACTTGAACGTGGCAGCTATAAGTCTGAGCTTCCTAAGTAATCCGATCTAGGTTTGAATCCAGACCTACCAGCTCACTGGCTATGTACTGCCCTACGGCAGAGGGTCGAAAACTACGGCCCCCGGGCCAAATGCCACCTGCCTTTACGAGTCCAGTTTTATTGGCACAGTCATACTCATTCATTTACCCATCGCCTATGCATTCACACTACACGGCGGAGTTGAGTAGTTGCCACAGAGACCGTATATGGCCCAGAAAACCAAAAACATTTACTACCCGGCCTGTTAAGAAAACGTTTGCTGCCCACTGGTCTATGGGGAAGTGATTGTGCCTGTAAGCCTCAGTTTCCCCTTCTGTACTTCCGGTCACTCAAGTCAGAGGGCTGAAACTGGAATTTCAATTGTCTGAAGGATGAAATTTGGTCTACCTTGTACTTGAAAAGGCACACAAATGAATGTTTAGCTATTTTTACTGTGTATTTATAGCATACAATACAGCTTTCTGTCCACAGTAAGGGATAACGTTTCCTTTCTAGAAGAATCTGGAAAAGTTGAGTTAAGGAAAAATACCAAGTAAACAGTACAGGGGGTATGAACACACGACCAAGATAACTCGAGAGGTGTGCTCTGGTCAGGGAGGAACAGCAGGGCTGTTCTGATGATTGAGTGAGGTCCCCATTTTAACCATCTCTTTCCGCATCTCCTCTGGGTCAGGCACTGGTTCCAGAAATGCCAGACAGTGGAAAATAAAGCAACAAAATCCCAGGTGCAGCCGTCAACCCGTTGCTCAGTCAGGGTAAGCCTTTGATCAGGGGAATTCAATTGTCTCTATAAACCTAACGAAATTCTGGAAGAACACACTGTAATTCACAGGGGATGGCAAACTTTTTCTGTATGGGGCCAGGTCATCAATGTTTTGGGCTTTGCAGGCTGTATCGTGCCTCAATTATGCAAAATCAGCCAGAGGCAAAATGTAAAGTGGGCGTGGCCGTGTGCCAATAAAACTTTATCTACAAAAGCAAGTGGAGGGCCGCATGTGGCCCACACGGCTCTGCAACAGCTCAGCACACCCTCAGCCCCAAAACACCCCAGGACCATAAGCAGTGCGGTGCACACTGATTCCATCCTCGGTGGGTGCACAGAAAGGACAAAGGCAGAAACTCAGGGCTGGCCAGATGGCTGTTCTCTGCAGTGGCTGCCAGGCCTGGCTCAAGACCCCCCTCCCAGCAGCCCTTGCTTCTCCCCCTGCCTTTGGGGCCCAGACCCCCAGCTGCATCCCACTCAGTCTGAGCAGCTCCTCTGGGCCAGCAGGTCCCTTCCGTCAAGTGGCTCGGAGTTGCGTTTTGAAAACACCAAGGACGAGTGACGAGCTACGCTCAGGGCACATGCTGCAGGGCTTGAGACCACACCAGCCCTGCCTGGACCATCGAGTTTCTCCAGAAAGCAAGGGAACACCACTTTCCGAGGGTTCTCAGGGAGAATCACCAGGACTCGGGGCCAATTCCAAGGGGCCTCCGAGTGGCCAAACATAACAGGACAAATGAAGTCAATAAAATGACGCATCGGATTAGAATACGTCATGTTAATCCACAAGTTCAACCCTGTAAGGTAAAAACTCACTGTGGGCCGGGGAGGGTGCTGGTGAACCAGCCAGGATGCTGTTAAATTCAAAAACCAACAGAAAGTGACCCTGAGAGTGCCCTGGACAGAACCCGTTCTGTCCACACACAGAGTTTAATTTAGCTTATTTTGCAAGACTCACTTGACCTGGGTCATTTCTTGCTCAGGCTTCTGAAAATCACGAGCAGAACGTGGACTGACTCCCGAGGATGCTAAGAGGTAACCACTGATTGTCACCCGGGGGGCTCCTGGCATCGCGTGGGTGGGGCCAGGGATGCTGCTCGACCCCCCACCGCGCCCGGGACGGCCCCCCCCACAGGGGGTGAGCCAAGCCTGATGTCCGCAGAGCCACAGTTGGGAAACCCTGATCTGTTCAAATTCAGCTTTTTTCAGTTGTCTCATATGTTTGGTTTGTCATTCAAACAAACCAGCCGCGGCCAAAGTCATCAAGAGGCCGCTGCCCCCTGGACTGAGCACGGTGTCTCGTTACACGCAACCCTCGTGGGCCATCCCTGCCGTGGCCACTGGAGTCTGCGACACTGGCAGGTGGGCAAAGGATGGCTGTCTCTAGAAGGTGGGGGTGACAGCCACGGGGGGGGGGGACGAGAAGGGACCACGAGGAGGACTGGCGCCTTGGTCCCCAAGCGCTCATCCTCAGTTTGTCTATTTCTCTCCATTCCGGCCATCACCTGGTCCAGCCCCTCCTCGCTCACCTGGACCTGAGCAGTGGGCTCTGCCCTGGACCCTGGCCCCCACCCTCGCCTCCAGTCTGTCCTCCCCACAGCGGCCACCGGAGGGCGCCTATGAGCCCTTGAGTCAGGCCCCCCTCCTCTGCCCACAGCCCTCCAGGGCTCCCCCTCCCTCGGGGGAGAAGCCCACATCCTCCCCGCGGCCCCCAGGCCCTGATTACTGTATCCTTTAAACTGTGAGCTCCTTGAGAGCAGAATTCTGTTCACTGATGGATCCTTAGGACCCATTAGATGCTTGGCACACAGACGCTGCGGCAGAAACACATAGATGCCCGGGGGGGGGACGGGGGGCAGGGGTCAGATTGGGGGAGACAGAGGAGAGTCTCTGAGTGATTCAGGGATCTGAGCCTCTGCTGAGTGCCAGTCCCCGTTCTAGACACAGGGACACAGCCCTGACCAAGACAGAAGCTTCTGCTCTGTGAAATTGACAATGAGAGCCAAAGAGAAAAAACAGAGCCAGGTTGTGGCAGGGGGTTCAGCACACAATATGGACCAGGGAGACTGCCATTTCAGAGACAAGAGGCCTCACCAGGGAGGTGGCATCTGAGCGCAGAGCTGGAGGTGGAAGGGAGCGAGCTCTCTGGGCAACTAGGGGAGGGAACAGCCAGTGCAAAGGCCCTGGGGTGGGAGCATGGCCAAGTATCTGTAAAGAAGCCAGTGTGGCTGCAGAAGAATGAACCAGGGAGGTGGGAGCCCTGGAGGGCTGTGGGCAGAGGCGGGGGGACCTGACTCAGGGGATCACAGGCGCCCTCTGGTGGGGGCTGTGGGGAGGACAGGCATGGGGGGCCAGGGTGGGGAGGACTGCACTGGTCCAGGCAATGATAACAGATGGGAGGAGAGGTGGCAGGGACGAGATGGACAGACTGCAGGTGGCCGAGAGGAGCCCCAGGTCGGGAGGTCCGGGGAGGGCTCCAGGCCCGTGGGCCGCACTCACCCAGCTCGGCGTCCGTCATGGGGAGGTGGTTGTCCACCCACTCCTCCGACCTGCCCAGCACTGCGTCCACCCCGCTCAGCACCATCTGGCCCACGCGGGAGCCCATGACCGACTGGACGCCGCTGGTCACCACGGACTTGGTCATGTCCACGCCGCTCTGCACGGCGCCCCGGGTCACGTCCACCGCCTCCGTCACCCGGCTGGCCACCGTGTCCCTGGCGCTCGACACCGTGTGGGACACGGCTTCTCGGGCCCCCGCCACCGTGTGGGACACGGCTTCTCGGGCCCCCGCCACCTTGGACGACACGAGCTCCTTGGTGTCCACCAGGACCTACGAGACAGGCTGGCATCAGCATCTCCACCCGCCTCCGTAGCCAGGTACCCCCGCCCCTGCACCCCAACCTCCAGGAAGGCCGACAGGAGGGCTTCCAGCTCCCAGGTGACCCCGAAGGGTCACGGTTAAGACTGCGTGCTCTGGAGCGACAGGGCCTGGGTTGAGTCCCTGGCTTGACAGACCCTAGCTGTGCAGCCTCAGGCAAGTCACTGCACCTCTCTGTGCTTTCGCTTCATCATACTTGGCGTTAGGGGCTGAAGAGTGTTGAAGCCCTACCCCCAGGACCTCAGAACGTGTCTGTCTTTGGAGATGGGTCTTTAAAGAGGCGATTAAGTTAAAACGAGATCACTAGAGTGGGTCCTGATCCAAGAGGACTGTGTCCTTATAAGAAGAGGAAATGAGGACACAGACACGCAGAGGAGAACCAGTGAGGACACAGAGAGAAGATGGTCGTCGACAAGGGAGATAGATGCCTCGGGAGAAACCAGCTCTGCCGACACCCTGATCTGGGACTTCCAGCCTCCAGAACCGGGAGAGCGAATTCTGTCGTTTACGTCGCCCCGCCTGCGGCCCTTTGTTACGGCCGCCCCGGAAGTGACTAATACGCCGAGTTAAGACAATCAGTGTGACCGCAGACACTGACGACGCTCCTGGAAAGCGACCACTCAACCAGGCACCAAGAATCGCCATCCTGGCCAGATAGGTGATCTGCGCGCTAATTAATGATTAAGTCCCTTAGGACAGTGGTTCTCAGCTGGGGGTGATCCTCTCCCCAGGGGACACTGGGCCATGTCTGGGGACATCGGTGGCTGTCACACTGGGGGTGCTGCTGGCATCGAGTGGGTGGGGCCAGGGATGCTGCTCGACCCCCCACAGCACCCAGGGCGCCCCCCCCAAAAGAGAACAACCTGGCCCCCACGTCAGCAGTGCTGAGGGGGAGACTGCATCAGAGACACTCAGAGTCAGACTAAACCAACACAGAGGGCTTGGTGCAGGCATCCAAGTGCCCACACATCTTGTCCCTGTTAAGTCCCAACGTAACACATTCACTACCTCAAACTCCCCATAGCGATTGGGGGGGGGGGGCGTGCCCAAAACCTCACAGCGTTTGTGGCTCTATTCCTCAAGCTTGTATGGAAACGTTAAGGACCAACCCTTGGCGTGAGCCAGGCGCCGTTCTAAGCTTTCAGAGGGTGAACCCACTCCAGCCTCCTGAGCCCCCGAGAGGTAGGCGCAAACCCATTCCGCAGAACAGAAAGTGAGGCCCAGAGAGGCTGAGCAGCTAGTCCAAGGGCTGTCCAGCTGCTAAGGGTAGAATCTGGATTTCAACCTGGTATTTTGTTCTCCTGCCTTTAACCGTGACTGGTTAACAGGATAGTGGGGTGGGGGTGGGGAGAGATGAACAACTTTCTTTGCGTAAATATTTTCAGCTTTGCAAGCCAGACGGTCTCTTCAAATTCACTTAACTCTGCCATTGTAGCAGGAGAGCAGCCACCACAGACAGTGTGTAAGCAACGGGGTGCGGCTGTGTGCCAATAAAACTTTATTTACAAAAACAAGTGGAGGGCCGGATTTGCCTTGGAGCAAATCTTTGGAGCAGCAGCTCCAGCACACAGAACTGGGTCCCCATGGATCAGTGCTGTTGTTCTTGAATCTAAGTCTTGAAACAGATCTCGATGCATAGAACTCTCTGGAAAGTTAAAAACCACACCCACGGCCATTCCTACCCTTCTAAGTTGGCGCCCCTCCAGACGCCTAGATCTCTCACGCTCATGGGACTTAGTCTTTTTGGCAGGGAGAGGGCACGATGGTCAGGCTGGAACACCAGCACTAAGCTCAGTGAGCACACAGCGGGGCCATCACCTAGCTCGAGCTCACCCAGGCTGAAATCCCAGTTGTGACAACAGCGCCGTCCCATAGAACTGCGGGAGGCTACCTCTTCCTGGCGGGGTGTGGGGAATGTCACAGGGCCCAGAATCAAGAGAGGTCTCAGTGGCTAGCCCAAGGGGACTGGAGGAGCGGCTGGCTCATCCCACCCCACCTCCAGGCAACACCTATTTCTGGGGGCAGAAATCCAGGCACAGGGAGTATCCCTGAGGGAGGCCCTTCTGTCCCACCAGGCAACGTGGAGATGAAGGACGTGAGCAGTTAATAAGCGCCTACCACGGGCCAGGCCATCGGACAGGCCCTGGACAGAGCAACACAGCAGACGGTCTGTGCCCTCAACCCCAGAGGGGAGGCAAAGAAGCAGTTAAAAAACAACTCAGCGTGGAACTTAAAAGTTAATACAACTTGCACATCCCTGTTCACAGCAGCATGATTCACAGGAGCCAAAAAGTGGAAGCAACCCAACTGTCCATGCACAGATGATGGATAAACACAGTGTGGTCCATCCATACAGCGGAATATTACTCAGCCATGAAAAGGAAGGAGATCCTGACATCTGCTCCAGTGTGGATGGACCTTGAGGACATGATACTGAGTGATGTGAGCCAGACACAGAAAGACAGACACTGTGTGATCCCCTCACAGGAAGCCCCTAGAGGAGTCACATCCACAGAGACAGAAAGTAGATGGTGGGGCCAGGGGCTGGGGGAGGGGATGGGGAGTCAGTGTTTCATGGGGACAGAGTCTCAGTTTGGGAAAATGACAAAGTTCTGGAGACGGATGGTAGGGATGGTTACATAGACAACAGTGTGAATGTGCTTCAAGCCACTGAGCTGTGCACTGGAAAATGGTTAAGATGGTCACTTTTATGTTGCAAAAAAACTAATTTAACTTGTACACAAATGCTCATAGCAGTTATTATTCATAACAGCCCAGAAGTGGAAACAACCTAAATGTCCATCAATGGGTAGTGGATAAACACACAATGCGGTCCCTCCACACACTGGAACATGACACAGCCATGAAGAGGAGTGAGGCCCTGACACAGCCACACTGTGGATGGACCCTGAACACACGACGCTCAGTGAGAGAAGCAGACACAGAAGGACACACGGTGTGTGGTCCCCTTGATGTGAAATGTCCAGAACAGGCAGATCCACAGACAGGAAGTGGGTTCGTGGTTGTCAGGGGCTGGGGTGTTTGGTGAGGAGGAGAGTAAGAGACAAGTGGTATAGGGTTTCTTTTTGGGGTGATAACAGTGTTCTAAAGTGGATGGTGATGGTTCACAACCTGAATGTTAAAACCACTGAGCTGTACGCTTTAAATGGGCCAGTTGTACGGAATGTGAATTATATCTCAGCGAAGCCCTTAAACCAAAAGGCTGACGTAGTCTGCCAGAACTGTGCTTGATGCCTGATACAGGAGCCACGCCCCACATGGCGCTATTTAATAAACTTAACATCATTAAAATTAGCTATTTAAAATTTAAAATCATTAAAACTAGTAATTGAGTTCTGCAGTCACACTAGCCACATCCTAAGGGCTCGGTAGCCACACGCGACTGGTGGTTTCCACATTGGATGGTGCAGAGGAAGAACGTGTACATCAGAGAAAGTTCCACTGGACAGAGCGGAGCTACAAGGACCTTCCTTAAGTGGGAAGGAAAGGCCTCTAAAGAGGTGAGATTAGAGCAGAGACCTAAGCCTGGCCCACAAAGAAGGAACTGCACGTGCAAAGATCCTGGGGTAGGACTGAGATGCGTGTGCTCGCTGTCTCTGCTTCCCCTGCTGCCTGGGAACGAAAGTTCCACGCGGGCAAGGACTCTCTTTCCGTCATCGTGTCCAGTACATACAGGCACTGATGTCACTGAACACAGGAGGCCAGCGTGGCCGGAGTGGAGCAAGCGAGGAGGGCCGGGAGGCGGCGGGGCCGGATCAGGTGGGGCCACGTGGGCCGCGCGGAGGGCTTGGCTTTTGCTCTGGGCAAGGTGGGAGACACGCCGGGCCTGGGGGGGGGAGCGCCCTGCACCCCCCCGCAGGCGGAGGCGGGTTACCTTCTCTGTGTGCTGCTGCAGGACGGGCAGGTTCTCCTCCAGTTTATCCAGTCCCCGGTGGGCGTACTCGCTGGCTGACGCGACTGCGGGAGACGGGGAGACAGAAGTGTGAGGGTACCCCACGTGAGCATCCCTCGGGGGCCCGGGAAGGCCAGCCGGTGCTGGTTTGGGGGAGCGGAGGCAGGGCTGGGCAGACCCCCCCCCCCCGGCACGCTCCCCGGGCATCACTCACGCTGGGGCTCCAGCTTGGAGAGGAGGGGCTGGGCCCCGCTGACGGCGGCCGCCGTGAGGGTCTTCACCCCCTTCTCCGCCGCGTCGCACACGGTCTTGACATGGGGGTGGCTCTCCTTGGTGGAGGCGTAGGCCGCCGACACCACGTCGCAGGTGCAGCTGATGAGGGGCATGCCGGCCACACGGTCCACCACGCTGGGCTATGGGGGAGGCGGCTCAGGCGGGCTGGGATCCTGGCCCGGAACGGGGGGGTGCAACTCGGGGTGCCCTGTTTCCACCTCACCCCCGGCCAGGCAAACGGCAGCCCACCCTCCCTCCGCATCCACGCGGCTGCAAAAACCAGGAACTCCGGGGCTCGGCCCGCACTTCCTTCCTTCAGCCCTGCAGCTCCGTCTGAACGGGCACTCGACACCCACGGGGTGCCAGGCAGTGACAAGACACAGGGACCCCACTCTGATGGAGCATGGGGTCAGCCAACTACGGCCCCCCCGCCCAGGGCAGCCCCCACCTGAGCTGGTTTTCTCCCAACAGCTTTCAAGCATCGTAAATTTCACCACCTTCAAAGTGCACATTTCAGCGGTTTTCAGTGTCTTCACGAGGTTGTGCAACCGTCACCGCTATTTCCAGAACTTTTTCATCTCCCCTAAAAGGAGCCCCGTACCTATTAACAGTCTCTCTTCATCCTGCCCTCCCTCCGGCCCGGGGCCACGACTGATCTAGTTCCTGCTTCTGTGGACTGGCCTATTCTGGACCTTTCGTGTCAGTGGAATCATATGCGGACTTGCACACCTGGCTTCTTTCACTGAGGAATGTTCTCAAGGTTCATCCACGTCGTAGAGTGTGTCAGTGCTCCGTTTTTTTTTTAATTGTAGCAAAACATACATAAAATTCACCATCGTAACCATTTTGAGTGCACAACTCAGTGGCATTAAGCACATTCACATTGTTGTGCGACCATCTCTACCATCCGTCTCCAGAACTTTCCATCTTCCCAAACTGAGACTCTGTCCCCATGAAACACTGACTCCCCAAGTCCCCTCCCCCAGCCCCTGGCTCCACCATCTACTTTCTGTCTCTGTGGATGTGACTCCTCTAGGGGCCTCCTGTGAGGGGATCACACAGTGTCTGTCCTTCTGTGTCTGGCTCATGTCACTGAGTGTTATGTCCCCAAGGTCCATCCACGTTGGAGCAGGTGCCAGGATCTCCTTCCTTTTTAAGGGTGAATAATATTCTGTTGCTGCCTGGTTTTATAAAGTTTTATTGGCACACGGCCACACCCATCATTTACATATTGAATACGGCTGCTCCCACCCTACAAGAGCAGAATTGAGTAGCCTCGACAGCCCTTCTCAGCCTCAGTTTTCCCATCTGTAAAGTGGGTAAGGCATTCTTGTCCCAAAGGAGTTGCAAAGATCGTGGGCATGGAGAGAAGACACCGGCGGAACAGTCAACTCTCACATGTGCTGTTTGTAGAACTTTTGTGGTTTAACTCACTTAATCACCAGTCCTGGGAGATGGGGAGTGTTATACCAATTTTACAGAAGGGTAACCTGAGGCATGGAGAGGCTAAATAAGTCGCCCAAGGTCACAAAACCAGCCAGGGGCAGAGCTGGACCTTGGACAAAGGCAGTCTGCCTCCAAAGTTCATCCACGAGGCCTCTTCACAAGTTAATCACACATTTACCATACAATCCAGCAATTCCACTCCTAGAAATCGACCCTAGAGATCCGAGGACACACGTCCACAAGAGACTTGTACGCAAATGTTCACAGAAACCTTATTCATAACGGCCAAGCAGTGGAACAATCCAAGTGCCATCAACTGGCAGGCAGATCAAGAAAATGTGGTATCAAGTATGTCATAAAAAAACATATGTATTTCACGGCCTATGAGTACGTGAAGAGACACTCGACATCGCTAATTGTTACAGAAATGCAAATCAAAACCACAATGAGATGCCACCTCACATCCACCAGGATGACAACTATCAAAAAACAGAAATTAAGAAGTTTTGGGGCCAGTCCCATGGCTTAGTGGTTAAGCGCGTGCACTCCGCTGCTGGCGGGCCAGGTTCAGATCCCGGGCGCACAGTGACGCAC